CTTTTTTCATTAAGTCGGAGTGTATAGAGGTTATGCTCCACCACCCGAGAGCTCTTCCTTCTGCTGCTGCTGCTGCTGCTGCTGCTTCTGCTTCTCCTCCTGCTGCTGCTGCTGCTGCTGCTGCATTGTCTGCTGCTGCTGCTGCTCCACGCTGAGCTGCTGCTATGTAGCTGCTGCCCTCTAGGTCCAGCTGACGCTGCATCTGCGGAAACAAATGCTGCTGCACCTCCTGCAGCACCAGCTGCAGCACGCTGCTTCGCTGCACCACAGCCACACACAGAAACAGCAGCAGCAGCAGCAGCAGCAGCAGCAGCAGGTGCAGGTGCACTCCAACTATCCTTATGCAGCAACCACAGACGGCTGGTAATAACAACGGGGTCGGAAGGACTAACAGCAGCAGCAACAGCAGCAGCAGCAGCAGCTGCTGCAGCAACAGCAGGAACGCCACCAGGAGCTGCAACAGCACCAGCAACAGGACCAGCACCAGAAGCAACACCCACAGCAGCAACAGCAACAGCAACAGCAGCAGCAGCAGCAGCAACAGCAACAGCAGCAGCAGCAGCAGCAGCAGCAGCAGCAGCAGCAGGTACAAACCTTGCTGTCAACCCCGTGCTGCATCATAGACTTGATGAGTTTCAGCTGCTTCTGTGCTGCAACATAAGGGGGCACCTCTGCTGCTGCTGCTGCTGGTGGTGCAGCAGGAAGCTCCAGAGCAGCACAAACGAAACTCTGCATGCTGCTGATCGCTGTCTTGGCTCGATCCACAGAATCTCTCAGTCTGAGCAGCAGCAGCAGCAGCAGCAGCAGCAGCAGCAGCAGCAGCAGCAGCAGCAGCGGAGGAGGGACAGAGAAACGTATCGATGGATTTTCCGGCTTAGGTCGGGCAACTGTTGCTGCAGCAGCAGCAGCAACAGCAGCAGCAACAACACAGCAACAGCAACAGCAGCAACAGCAGCAGCAGCAACAGCAGCAGCAGCAACAGCAGCAGCAGCAGCAGCAGCAGCAGCAGCAGCAGACCTGCTAGTGGCAGCAGCAATTGCTTCACTCAGAGCAAAAAGTTTTTCTCTTAAGGCCTCCAACTCCTCTCGCAGTGCCAGCCGCAACCTCTTCTCTTCTTCTTCTCCCCCC